GCCGAAACCAGCAGTGCTCTCTCAGCTTAGTGACTCTCTGCCTTGCAGCAGTCGACCTTTCTTACCGTTGATCGGGGAAAAGGTGGTCCACACGAAGGTGGTAGCACATCGTGCTGTGGCAACATGTAGGTAGTTCTTTACATTAGGGCCACTTTTGGCGTCCCTTTAATGACCCAATTTAGACAACTACCCATGTAAGCTGCGTGCCATGTCACAGCCTGGTGCTCTCTTCTTTCGGCGAAGTTTCGGGTAGCTATGTGCATCGTGGTGAGCCACTTGCGAGGTTACTGAAGTCGTTCGGTGATCATAAGCAGCAGGTTGTGGTAGAATGCTGAAGAGCGGATCCCACACAACCCACTGAAGGCCTACTTAGGCCTGCGGCCCTCCAAGCCAGGAGAAGTTGTCGCGAGAAGACGTGGACAGCGAGAGGACGGAGGGCACTCGCGCAGAGAATCCAGATAGCTGCGCCAGCGACCAAGGCATGTCAGTTGTTGGGTCGAGCAACGCCACGTCGATGTGCAAACCGCTCTGCTCTTTGGGAGAGGGCCCCTGGCAGGTGACTCGGAGACCGTCAGTAGCGCCCAGGATGTCGAGGAGGAGGCATCGCTCAGCGCTGAATCAGCGTGATCCACCTTGTGGGCAACAGGCACAGAGTCGGTAGCACGCTTTTGTTGCCAGGACTTCTCGGGTTCCGAGTGCACCGACTCGGAGTCAGAAGATCTGGCAGACCTCCTGGAGATAGCTCCGGCAGTTGGGACGCGAGTTGCCTGGCAGAACTCGGCTCGCACAGCTGTTCTTGCAGACATAGACATGTCGTGTGTGACTTGGAGGCATGGATACGTATACGGGCCGTCCTACGTCATTCATAATATATCGCACGCGTGCATACAAAAGCCTGACATGCATGCATGCATGCATGCATACATGCATACATGCATACATGCATACATGCATACATGCATACATACATGTATGTATACACTATATATGTATAAGCAATTAACAAACAATAGGTTAGCTAATCAGTTCAACAGTTGTATATAAATATACACACACATGCTTACATACGCACATTTCTGCGTGCCCACATGCATCAAGACACGCTTGCTTCCTGCGCGGTGATCTTGCACCTACACTGCGCACACTGTGAAATCGCGTCGTGGCCGAAGTGATTCGCCCGATCCGTCGGACCTTGGACCAAAAAAGGGGCCACAGAGAGTCCGCACCTCATCTTCTCGAAGAGTCCGAATTCTTCGTTTCCTTGATCGGGGAATGTCGGTGACAAAGCGCGGGACCAGTTCACTCCTCCTCCCAGTAGAACGACATGGGCAAAGCTTAGGTGGAGGTGTACTTTACGGATGGAAGCTGGGTCCCTGCAATCGTCACGCATGCGAGAGGCATGCAGGCACGTGGCTCAGCTGCACTTGTGTGAAAGACTTGCACTACATGTTGGATACCATGAACAAGTGTGACCGAGACAACACTCATGATGCATTCTTCCGTCTTACAAAGGCCCCTCAATCAGGGAACATTGCAACAGACCAGGGCTCGAAGTTCACGTGCAAGTGTATTGAGCCTGTAAAGTGCGCTTTTGCAGAACACCCTGTATGAAGGCCCCTTCCACACTCCTTGAGTCAGGCACTGCTGACCCGGTCATGCCCCATGCTGTCATGAGGCTGCCAGGGTTCTATTGAAAGTTGTGCCCGGTTGACACCTCTCGCTTTTGGTGTGAAGCATTCGAGCCATCCACTTCACTGATTGATCTGGGGGGTTTCTACCAGGAGCTATTGACGATAGGCACCCCTTGAAGTCCAAGGTGTTTCGTGGGACACCTGCGAGAACACGGAAGAGCTGCAAGATCAGTGCTTTCTCGACTTCAGAGAAGATGTAGTGGCCCGCCGGAGAGGATCAGTAGGTGAACTCAGTGACTCGAGGGTTTCAGGATGTAGTTTAGGGTTTTGAGGGTCCGTAGTGTAGGAGAGCCTCCATCGGCACAGGCAGAGCTGCCACTTCCTCGTTTCTTCGGGGCCCGTCTGGACATGCCAACACTCCGACCTTGAAAGGGGTCTGCGTGCTTCCTGGGCACGTTGCCCATCCGAGGTGAGACTGGTACAAGCACCTCAGCCTTCAGAACTCGCCAGTGCTGGTGAAGAAGGCAAGGTGGGGGCGACGGGGCTTCGGAATATGGAGCAACTGTTGCTTTTCCTCTCCGAACACAAAGCAGCCAAACAGCATTGCTCTGGGAGACTGCCTGCATTCGCAGGATGAGCCTTCGCTGATGTCACGGAATGCGGAGTGTTTTACGCTCACAGCAAAGCAGTTGACAGCCTCCGAGAAGTCGGGGAAGTGTGAGCTGCTTGGGTGGCAGATCTTGCCATCTTGTGTGAGCTTCCTTTGTGGTGAGCAGCAAAATCTGCATTCCATGTGCTGGTGGGCGCTGCATGCGCAAGCAGCACGAGCAGACTTTGCTGCTTTCCGAGAAGGTGAATTTTGCTGCTGCAGTTTTGAGCTACGCGATTGGCAGAGGTACCGTGCATGCTACAAGTCAACGCTACGACAGGTCCAGGTCCAGGCTGCTCGGTCAGGATTGTCTGGACCCACCGGTTCTTGATAGTACCAAGGTTGAGCGTAGCATTGAGCTACCTCGGCCCATCGCACGTCGAAAGAAAGCATCAGCTAAGCTGAAGCATCGGAATGTCGGAATGGCAAAGTTAATTAAGTGTGACCGGACGGCCTGTCTGGTTAGCACTGAGGAATGTTTTCAGAACATCCGCAGCTCTTCAATTTCTGGAGGTGACTAGCAAAGCTCTGATGGAGTCCGACCCATGCCTTGGCCAATGGCCCTTGCTCCCCGAAACTAATGCTTCTCCTCCGAAAGCCGTGCTTCAGAGGGATACAACATGGCCCTGTGGCCTCTTTGGCTCAAGCATGCAGCCACCAGCCACCCCAAGGGTGCTGAAGGCCGTCATCCATCCAGTGCAGGAGTGCTTCTTGCGGGCTAAGAGCGAAGGCACCAAGCGCGCAAGGGGTGCGTGTGCTGTGGGCAGGTGGTGCGCAGCCGGCAAACGGCACGTGCCGTTCGTCATGGCAGCTCGACTGCCCTCGGGATAAGGATAAGCTCTCATGGCTTAAACAGCAAGTCAAAATGTCAGGCAGCGCGAAGTCCAAAGTCCAAAGCAGCCGTTTTGCAAGCAAGAGCGCGGCTTGTCCCGATGAGGCGGCAGCACAAGCACAAAGGGCCCCGGACATCCGCTACTCTGATGTGGCCAGATATGTGGGCCTGCCACGAAGCTGCAGTAACGGCATTAAGGAGAAGTCGCCGCGAACTGCAACAGTTTTCATTTCCATGCACCGTAACTTGATATGGAGGTCGTTGATGAAGGATCCACCACGGCCGAAGTCGCAGGTCCGGCTGGACCCACTGAAGGTGACCGCCCCCAGTGTTTCGCATTTTGGCGTGCCGCCGTCGATGTTTCACTTCGGACTGCTGTCGCTTCGTCCAGCTCTCATGGGGAGCTCGACCTTGATGCAAGGAGGTGGCAGCCCCACGCATATTGGCATTGCCTCCGAGCGGAGCCAAGGACGAACAGGTGGTCGCTTGGCGCTGTGCCGGGCGAGTGTCAAAGGGATGTGGGACAAAGTATGCCGCGAAGATGCGCGCGGCAGCCAAGGATCGCATGAAAACGCAACTGGCGTGGCTCAAAGCCCAGCAGAAGGCGGAGAAGGACGCTTGCATGGTGTTTTTGTTCACCCCGGTGCCTTCTGTGGCCCAAGAAAAGCACCCTGGATGTGGCCAGGAAGAGCTCCACAGGCTCGAGACTTGCCTCTCTGACTCCATGCTGCTGGAGAGGAAGGCCCCGTTTCTGCGAACTTTGGAGTTTGCCTGACAGGAAGGATGCCGGGTAGTATCATGCCTGTGAGGTGCACAAGAAAACGGTCAAGGACCGGGAGAAGTTCGAGTTCCACCAGAAACATGCAGCTCCTTGCCTGCCGGGGAGCGCACACAGCAGAGCAGTGTCTCTCAGAGCATCTCCGGAGTTTCCTCACAGCTTGCGATCCTTACCATCATCCTGCTACATACAGTATCTCTCCGAAGCTCCTGTGGTGTACCCAGGCTCAAGTCACCGAGCAGATTCAAGCTCTTCAGGCGGGGTCAGAGACGGCTGTATTTCCTCACATTCATTCCTGAAGTCCTGACCGAGACACTTTCCGGTGTGCGACCCCCCAAAACCCGAAGATGGCATTCCATGGAGTGGGTACAGGCAGTGTCTGCACAACTGCCAGGCTGCGTTGCAGGAAGCCTCCAGAAAGCCTGAGGCGGGCATGTCTGGAGAGATGGCACAGATTGTAGGGTTCTTTGCGTGAAAGTCAGACAGCGTAGTTAAACAAGTATATATATATATATGTATATATATATATACATATTTAGAATTTGTAGATCCTTTGTTATGTTTTTTTAGCTTTGCTTAGGCAAGTCCTGCTTTCCTGTAGTCGCTCATTCATTCATTCATTCATTCATTCATTCATTCATTCATTCATTCACTCACTCTTTGTGGTTTCATTCGTCGATTCTGTCTTTATTTCTTTCTCGCTCTCGCTGCCTCTCTCCGTCCCTCCCTCCATCCCTCCCT